AGTTAAATTTATAAACATACATTTCATACATTTATTCCCTATTTTATATGAATTTGAACAACAGCGGTTTTTGTAGAATAAAATAGTACCACCACTGTTTATTTTGTTGGCTTCTCATCAGCTAAGCTACTAACAGGCCAAATCTCATTATTAAGTAGTATTTCTACAGAAAAAGTGTTAACATACTTGCACAGAGTTCATTTTTAAACAAAAATCAATCACTATTTACATACGGTTTTTTTAATTTCCTTCAGGTTCTTAGTGGAACATAGGGCTCCAAGCTGGAGGCTAGAAGCTTCTGTAGCAGTGTTTATTTTTACAGGATCAGGTTGCTAACTTCATGCCTAACATTGCCTCTTATCCAGTCTTATTACCGTATAAGTGAGGTAAAGGAGTGCGTCGGCCGGTGATCGAACCCCGAAGCATGTGCATGGTTGACAAGCATGCTAACCGCTGTGCCACCGAAGCACCCATAGAGCTGGGTTTCGTGCTAGTTGGCACTCATCAGCAAGGCGTATCCGCAACCTTGAAGGAACTCATGTCCCTTCTGAGATTTGAACCTGCATCACCCAGAGACGTTACCACTGGGCTATTTGAGCTCGAAACCCGGGAGTGCTGGACAGCTGATTCGCCCTAGTTTGTGACTCTTCAGGAGTACGCATCCACCAGGTTTCGAACTCAGGACCTATTGGTTACAAGGTGAACTCGTATACCATAATGATCATACACATTGAAAACGTTTTACATTACGTAATCAGATGAAAGAGAGGTGAAAATATCCAGTTATCAGGGGAATGCAAGACTGATGACTGTTTCTATCAGGTTTCAGGCGCTTGATGGAGATTGCTTCTGCAAACACTTGAGGAGAAATGAACTCTTTTGCGCCTATTGATAATTTTGAACAATCTTGCTACGTCCACTCCGCAACCCATGTCAAGGAGATGCCAGATGATGGCACTGTTTAAAGCATTTTTTCCTTTCACATGTTCATAAAGTCATAGATATGACCTTCTCCATATTGTTCCAATTTAAATGCATTCAGAAAGAAGCAGTTATCAATCTTTCCTTGCTTTGACTGGTAACTGGATATAATCATCTCTCCTTCAACTGATTACGTAATGTAGAAAGTCTCCATTGTGTATGGTCACTATTTTTCCGAATAGTGTTTAACATTATATACATATATATATGTATATTACTGTATGCATATAGTGATTGATTTCTGTTTAAAAATGAACTATGTGTAAGTATGTGAAAACTGTTTCTGTAGACATACTACTTAATAATGGCTTTGGCCTGCAAGCAGCTGAGGAGATGAGAAGACAACGAAATAAACAATCATGGTACCATTTTTATTTTGCACAAGTCACTGTTGTTCTTGCTTTGTGAACACATATATTGAAGTGGCGAGATTTCGTATCTATTACTTCACCTGCATTGGAATTATGCAACGAATAGTGAATCTTAAACACATTCTTGTGGCAAAGAATAGTATAGGTATAATTTCTTGAAGTTTCAATGCCAACAATTCATTCATTTGCTGAGTCTCCTCCTTAAAAAACTGTAAAGTCATGCATATGAATTTCTTCTGCAAAGTTTGTTGGCATTTCTTTCTATCTCTTCGCCTCATCGAGACGTTACCGAACTTTTTAAGGAGATCCGTTCTCATACAGTGAATTTCGCATATTTCTTATTTCATTGTTCACGGGGTCAGTTGTATAGATTCATCTAATACGAAACATCGATATAATGTTAGGATTACTTTTGTACGCTAGAGGAATAAACCATTTGAAAAAACGGGGTATTGAAGGACCCATAACATTTTTTACAGAAAAAATATCTCGCTTAACATCGCCGTTTGACTTTCTTACCAGCAGGACATTAAAAAAATGACAAAGTATTATTGCCTTTGTCGGCTTATGCATAATCTACTGTGAGAGTTTTGAGAAGAACCTAGGTAGTGAATTTATTCTTATGCAAGATAAAGGCGACGTTTTGAGCGGACGGTTCGCTAATTTTACCGTGAATATATATCAGCTTATAACTAAGTGTTCCAGTCATGTAAATTAAGGTAGACTGTCTCTCTCTCACTTATTCAGATTCAATTTACCGTCTAGTCTCGCTGAATATGCATTCAATTTTAAGTCTTCAATCGATAATCAAGACTGACTAAGTGCCATGGTTCCATTCTATACTTGTGCAGAAAATACACTGTCTGGTATCTATCTTGACTGGTTATTATACACTAATAATTAAATTAAAAGTCAATCTGAACCGAAGAATATTATTTTCAATAATGTATCCTCTTCACACTTTTACAATGATAAACTATGATACTTGTTGTCGTTACAATAATGAAAGCCAGTTATGCAGTGGATACACTTTTTAACGTAGAATATCAGATCAGCAGTTATGGGGTGTCAAACGTCGTGCTAGGCTGCAATCGATTAAAAAATATTGTGATATAGACGACAATGGTGGTGATTAGTCATAAGAGACTCTCAGAATGTGCTGGAGTCAATGTGAATGTTCAATATCAACCAAGCTCATAAAACTTCTCTCTCGAACCCGTAGACGAACCTTTCAAATCGTGCGCCCTGTATAACTTCAACCACAGTAACAGTTGAAATGGTATATGCATGGAGAAGAGCTAAGGTTATGTAAGACATATTTCAGTTGCTGGTCGAACATTAGACGTTTGCTGAAGGATAGGAAGAGATGTACAGTGTAGAAGGTTTTCTTATCGCCCTAGTTAAACGTTGCGATAGAATCTTCGCAGGAGTACCTCCCCTGAATTGTGGACCTTTCATATTCTTGATTAAGTTTATTTACTTCGTCATTTTCGGTTTCTTTTACACATAGCTGAAGGTGTTTCAATAAGATCAACCAGACCGAAATTTTGTATAAAAAAACACGTCCAGACGCTGTTCCCACCGTGAGAAAACTTGTATAGACGATTCTTCTTCGTATCGACAGCGATTCTTCCCCTTAACCCTCTTGGTTTCTTATCTTTCTTGATTACAATTGTTATTATTATTTTGCGTCATAATTTATGCCCTTCAAGCAAAAATTCTCTCACTACTATAGAATTTTCCATTTATACTATCCGGACTTATAATTAGTGATACTGTCTCTTTTCTCAATATATGTCTCCGCCTGTTTCATTTCACTTATTCGTTATTTCATTAGGAACCTCTCATTGCAGTCTTACTATCTTCTCTTAAATGCATACCGCTTTGCCCTAGCCAATCACCTGACACCTTTTATAACTTTATACTGACTTTTCAATTTTTCATACCCCATTTTATGCAAAACTCTAATGACTAATCAGCACCATTGTCTCCTATTTCACAATAATTTTAGATCGTTTGCAACCAACTAGCACGACGTTTGTCAAAAAATACGACTATTTAATTTGAGACCGCATAACTGCTGATCTGTTATTCTACGTTAAAAGGTGTATCCACTGCATAACTGGCTATCTTTATTGTAACGACAACAGGTATATTATATTTTATCATTGTAAGAGCCTGAAGAGGAGAAATTATTGAATAAATAAATATTCTTCGTTCAAATTGACTTTGAATTCCTATGATATGGGGAATATTTTACACTATTAAATCTTACAAATCAATGAATGAGTTTATAACTTTACAACCTGAAGAAACACGTGATCTTTGAATTCCCTAAGGAATAAACAGCGCATGAATGAAATCTCACAAGCTTATAAATGCAAAGATTATTGTTGATATAATAATAATTTGCTTTATTCCAAAACAGTACTTGTGATACAGAATGGAATTCTCAGCATTTCACTACATACAGTATTGCATCCAGTTAGTACATTAACAATAAAATAAAATTCTACATAGATTAAGGTTAATCTCAGTTAGTTTTGACAACAACATATTGGCATGTCAAAATTGAACAGAGTGTTTGAAGGTGTTCGATAAATAGATGCCAGCATATTTACTGGCGTAAGCGGTAACAAAAAGATCGAGATCTACAGAGTGTGAAAGAACGAAGAAGAATTTTAGAAATAGAGTTTGTAGGAAGAAAGAAACAAAGCAGCAAATAACAGAAAAAAGAGAAAGGAAAAGAAAGGAGGAAAACGTTGTACGTGTAAATGATATGGGTTGGAAAGACGAGATTCGGTTGTTCTACTGACTATTTAATAAGTCAGAAGGTTTCACGCCAATTGCTTTCTTTATCGCACAGAACACGAGCTAAGTAGGGCATGGTTGAGTTGGGTTTTGTGATTGCTAGTGCGAGCATATAGTTTTCTATATAGGCTTCTGGTTCTGCCTGATGAGATAGATACAAGGGGAGAGTTGTGAATGAAGAGGGTGGTGTGAGTTAGATAGATAGAATGGATTAAGCCCATTTTTCACATGAGTCCAAGTGCCTGTCGACCAGAATATTAACAAGCCGGTTAAGTGGCACGTTGCTAACCCTGCTGACAACCTTTGACATCCTACGTAATAATGTATAGTCTTTCTTCAGTAGTCCTGGTAAAACTAAGGGGGATCGATAGAGAATAATAGGCAAGATGCAAGAGTTAACTAATCGTAAGAGTAAGGATTGGGTTATACCAGAATGTCTTAAGTTCTTGTTGTAGAACGAAAAACGGAATATTTTCTTAGAAACCATCAAGATATAGACGACCAGGAGGGAAAGATCAGCAGATAGAATGACACCAAGATATTTGATTTCCGACTTGGTTTCAATTTCAGTGTCATCTATGTTGCACATCCCATGAGTGCTACCCAGTTTGTTTATGTCAGATTTATGCCTAAAGGGGTGAAATTGACTGTTTGACATTTAGAGGGTTTAAGGTTAGACCGTTTTTTTTTAACCATTGGCTGATTTCTTATAAAAAGGCATTTAGTTTAGAGCAGTCACTTTGACATTTGACAGGCAAAGCTACAGTTACTTTTTATTGATTCACCAGCACAAGTTTTCACTTAAAAAAATCACGAAAGAATTCATTCATAACTTACCGATATGATCGCCGATCTGTATGACTTAATTCAATCCCATTTCCATTTTCAATTTTCATCTTTTCTTTTCACGGTTAACTGTTCTAAGAATTACACAGTGTATTCCACTATATCACATTCAGATTGTGTTTAGAAATAAAGAACAAATGCTGAGTATGGGTGAAATACACAAAAAATGCGAAAAAGCACAATATGTCTACTCATCACAATGCGTGTGTTTGTCTCTCATACTCACACACCGACACACACACACACACGAGACAATGTCATCAGCCAACGAAATATTTGTTAAAATTGCTAAAATATGCGAGATATTTACATATTAACTACTCATGAGTAGTTATCACTTGTTCAACGAAAATACTGTCTGATACTTTCAACTGGTTCTGACACTGACCACCTAAAACACTAAATCCGTCGTGTCTAAGTCGGGCTGCACACGCAGGCTTAGTGCATGATGTCACCTGACGGTCACCTCAGTGTGTGTCCAGGACATCTCTGTCTCCTCCAGCATATATGTTAGGTGATAGGTTCCCGTTTTTTAAAAAGACAGTTGAAGCGAGAAACTTTTCCTTTCGATGAAGTCATCAACTAAAACAGCTGTACATTCGTGTATTTTTTTAAAAATGGGTGGGAAAGTTCCAGAATAATTTCCGGTTAACGGTCAAATTATTAAAATACAATTAGGAATTAAAATGCCGTGTTAAATAGGGGAGACAGGTTAAACTCATGCAAAGTAGCATCATAATTACTGAGAAGAATGATATTGATTGTAGAGTAAGAAATGTAGAAATGTAGAAATAACAAAATAGACCGGATGATCGGTTAAAAAATCAAGTGTGATCATAACCAATGTAAATACAACACGTAGATCAGCTAAGAGTCTCTTTTCACTGGCGAATTCATTTTCTTAGCTGTACAATCGCATATATATACATAGTGTTATTTTGTGTGTATGTGTCAATTAAGTCTAGACTAGAATCCGAAAAATCTGCAGTCCTGAGTCAATAGAGGAAGAGATCGCCCTCTTAAGGAAGACACTGCTCGAGAATGGCTACCCACCCCGTTTTATAGAAAGCATATTAAGCCTAAGACTTACAAAGAACAACCCACTACAGTGCAGAAGAAGATGGTATACATGAATGTACCCTTCAGAGGTGACCTTCTGGCTGACACCTTGAAGAAGAGGATATCCACTGCTCTAAGTAGGACATTCTTCGCTGCCACACTACGACTGACATTTTCCTCCCTGCCATTGTTCTTCAACTACTCTAAAGATAAACTATCGCATTTGACCACTTCCATGTGTATCTACCAATTCACCTGCTCTTGCGGAGCGAGGTATATAGGTCGTTCGATGCGAGTTTTATCTAAAAGTGTTCAAGAACACTATCCCGCCTGGCTACGAAAAGGTAACAATGGAGCGATAAGGAGCGCCATTATTGAGCATATACTTAACACTGGTCATTCGATTTGCAAGGAGAAGTCATTCAAAATCATCTATAAAGTCAAAAGAAGCCTTCCAAAATCGACAAGCTTCCGTATACATTGTATTGCCGAAGCCTTAGCGATTTGGATAGAAAAGCCTGAAGCAACGAAGAAACTTCTCCACCCCTTCCTACTACCGTGGGTTTAATTTCAAGTTCATCTGTCATCAACATTTTGTTATCAAATTTTTTTTTGCAATATTCGTATAATAATTTTTAGTAACTAACCCATTCAATCTTTTCACCTATTATCTAGTTTATTTTCATATTACGTAACCGTACTCACATCTTACCAATTTTCACCGCACTTAGTTACAACTTTGATTACTATTCACACAATTTAATTTTATTATTATTATGATGATGTAATCAACAACCCACACTAACTGTTATTTTGATTTTGACAAACCTTATGTACACACACACACAAAATTAATTGTATATATTTGTGACTGTACAGCTAAGAGAATGAATTCGCCGAAAAAAGACTCTTCGCTGAACTAATTTGTTCTTATTTCAATGAATTAAGTTTGTCAAACAAAAATACAATGTAATTCAGCGTGAATGATTGAGGTTTTATCGCAACTGTATACAAAATAAACATTATCCTATATGATTTTACAAATCACTACGTCGAAATAAGTCAAAATCTTCACTCTTCGACCTTTAGCATCTTGCTGAACTAGAAATTGATAAATTGATAATGGTAGACTTTCGAAATTTATTGAAGCACACACCGAAGACTAAATCTCGTTATGTATAATTTATCTTTAGTATGTCGAATTAAATTCACTGAATTTTGCAATAATAAGATAAAAGAAACTATAAGTTCCACGAAACAAAAATCACTAAAATCTTTGAAAGACACGAATCACATTTTGAAATTCGCTCAAGATATCCACAAGCGTATAATTAATTCACCTAACTTCACTCTGTCCCAACTACAGTTGGAAGCATTGTCGTATGGATTGAAATACAAAACTATTTCTATGAAAAAAAACAAAATGAAAGTTCAGTCACAGTATGAAAACCTCTATGATAATATCTCTGACTTAACCCCTTCTAGGAAAGATAATCTGAACTGGTTTCAAGTTAAACTGGTGGACATTTCTCATCAATTTCTAAATGCTAGAAAACACCAGAAAAATGGTTTGTCAAAAGAACACCACGCCGCAATTAAGGAATTAATCGAAAAAGATAGTCTTATTATCCTTAAACCCAATAAGAGAGAAGGTGTTGTCATCATGAATAAATCGGCTAATGAAAATAAAATGAATGATATCCCCAAAGATCAGTCCAAATTTCTGGTGGACAATCCTACTGATAATGTGCTGCTTGTGGAAAAGCAGATCAGTCGTCAGTTTCAGATTTTACTGATGCATGGTTTTATAAATGAATAAATTTATAAACAACTTAAGGCAATAGGTCACATACCCTCTGGCTCCACGGCCTGCCGAAGATCCACAAAACTGGGAACCCACGACAGCCACTTTGGACATGTCCAATTCTTCATACCATAAAATCGCGTAATGGAATACAAAGGTCTTTACGCCTGTAAGAGACTCATTATCAAATCACTTTGTAAAAGTTTACTTTATCTCACAGATTTGCTAGACACCTCGAACATTAAGGAAAAGGTTATGTGTTCAACTGACACAGAATCTTTATTAGCCAATGTTCCTCTTCACGAAACTGTTGATTTCATTTGCGATTCTATCACAGCAACGACATAAACTTAACTATCCCTGTAACTTACATCTAAGACATCATCTTAATGTGCACGGAAAATATTAGATTCACATTCCAAGAAAAGGCATACAAACAAATAGATGGTATTGCGATGAGGAGCCTTCTGGGCTCCTGTTAGCAGATATATTTATGTCGAAACTGGAGAAACAAATGCAAGGTATGCTTGGAAAATTTATGCTGTATAAACGTTATGTAGATAAAACTTTCATTATTGGTAATAGAAGTAAATCTTTTGAAAACTTCATTACCATATTTAATCATATACATTGAAATTTACCTAGTGACATCCGAATTCGAATCAACTAACAAACTCGGTTTCTTGGGTATTTCCAGGAGAGACGAAGGAAAGATTAAGTGATCTATTTTTCATGCATTGGATTGTAAGAATTCGGTTGATTTATGACAGGATTTCATCATGAGCTGACATTAGTTAGAGAACCATTGGACAACCTGGGAGTAGTGGGCAGCTGTTTCGTCCTAGTTTGGGACTCTTCATCAGTACGCACCCACCAAGGTTACAAGGTGAGGTCGTAGACGATTAGGCCACTGGGCCCCGATCCAGTGGCCAGCGCATGAATTCTAACTTCTGCCAATTCACGATAAAGCGCAATCGCTAGCCAATGTCTTCGACGAGTATTTGTCATCACACCCGACCTGCGGCATCCTCCTGGTCACGACCAGAAGTTCTTGGGTTCGGACCCCGGTGGACGCGTACTGCTCAAGAGTACCAAACTAGGACGAAACAGTTGTCCAGTACTCTCAGCATGTTTTCGGATGTTTCTCTAACTAATGTCAGCTCATGATGAAATTCTGTAATCGATCAGTTTTTTGTATGCAGATATAAGTGGAAAATATCTTCACTTTACCAATTTTTTTCTATCCAGTACAAACTTTCGCTAGTGAAATTTTTGTTTTAAAGGGCCTGAAGAATATGCACGAGTGACACATTGATGCATGAGTTTCGACATATACATTCAGTTTTATTAGCTAATGGTTATCCGTCAAACTATATCTCTTGTCACAGTAAAGAAAGACCACATCTCGAAAAGGCAGTTACTGTACCAAAGGGAGCTATCTTTATGAACCTACCATAAGGGGGTGACGAGATTATGCAGTTGATAACTCAAAGACTTTGTTCAGCCATCAAACGCACACTCTACGCCGCATCTCTATTTCTCACTTGCCGAACAATTTCCATCCCTGTACCTACGAATAAAGGACCAAATTCTGCAGACCAACAGAATGTTCCAATGTCGTCAGAAAGGACATGTTCCAAAATAGCTACTATATCATATAGAAATTCCCAATGCGGTTAATAATCTGAATCGAAATCCAGCATCATCCACTGCAAAACACTTATTATAGTCAGGTAACAAAATCAATATCAATTAATGACTGTTTCACAATTATTTCACATAACTATAATTCAAGGTTGTTTAATAAATGTGATGGAAGCACTTTGTTTGGTTAATTACACACATCCTAAACTATGTGTTCAAAACACAAAAGACTTCAACCTCCGCCTACCATGGGCTGACTACTTGACCTTTTTCAAAATATGCTTTTCATTAGTATTTTATTTTGTTTTATTATATAACTGAGTAATTGTCATGCATTTTATTTTAATATTGTTGTGACCCATCCTGAATTTAAAGCGATTGTAAAGAAACTAAGAAATGATGATATCATCTCGTGAAATTTGCAAAGGGACGTATTGTATTAAAAATACAATTAGTTGTGTTTAACGTAACTAAACAGGTGATAGCTAATAAGTTTTAGGTGGAGTTACGTTATCCGAATACGGTCAACAAAATCAGGTGTTT